CCCCAAAACCCCAAAACCCCATAAGACTTTTTATGTAAAATTTTGTAATAAATATCAAGCGAAATGGAAAAATCAAAAAAGCAACAAAGCAAATAGATCGATGATAAATCTAAGAAAATCAAAAAAGATAAAAAATAGCAGAAGGATCATGAGCCTAAAGGCAAACAATAAAATGCTTAGACTGGAAATAGACCTAAAACAAACCCACTAGATAAATAGGGGAGATTTTAACAAATGAAAGAAAAGAAGAAGACTAAGTTTTAGCTATTTAAGGATCGAGTTACGGACAAGGGTGATGTTTAATAGGTAGCTGACTATCTTAATGCTGAGATTTTAAGACATATTGCATATACTAGAGTAAAGAAGTCCAATGATGAAAAGGTGATTAGTGCTATTGATAAATTTGAAAGCAAGGACACTCCTGAGTTGTTTAACCAGGAAAATGTTGATTAATTCCATGAGGGTAGAAGTATAGCTGAGACATCTAAAAGATTAGTATAGGAATTGAGAAAACTCAAAATATTCTCAGAAAAGCTGAATAATCCATAGATTATGATTTTAACTCCAGATACCTAGGTAGTTGTTGATTTATATAAGGAACTTAAGAATATATATCAAGCAGATACTCACCCAATTAAAGTCAGAGTACAAAAGCTATTTGCTAAGCACATCACAGTTGAAGAACATGAGAAGCTATTAAATGCTGAAAATAAGGGGAGTGTGGTTAATCTCTATATTGGAACTCCAAACAGAGTGAAAAAGCTAGCTGAAAAGGGAGCCATGAAATTAAAGAAATCCAACTTTAAGCATCTTGTGATTGACTCACATTTAAATGTTAAAAACCAGAGCTTATTCGATATATTTGAAACGAGAGATGATACTTTTGACCTACTTATTCTTTCTTAGAAATAATTGATGAAGGCCAATCTAAAAGTGTCAATAATTTGATATCAATCTTAAACTGCTGAGAAAATCAAACCTAATTAATTTATTTTTAATTAAAACACTATCTAAAGAATTTACTGATTGTTTAATATGTTTGGGGTTTTGGGGTTTTGGGG